CCCCAAAAGGCCTTATTTTTTTTGTATGAGGTAGAATTCTTTTCCGGAGTCCTACTGCATCTGGCCATCGCAGGTTCTCCTCTTGCAGTGTTTTCTGCGATGTACTTTGCGATCCCTGGTCCTCCTCTTCCTGTGTGTCCTGGATGTACTTTGTGATCCCTAGTCCTCCTCTTCCTGTGTGTCCTGGATGTACTTTGCCATCCCTGGTCCTCCTCTTCCTGTGTGTCCTGGATGTACTTTGCCATCCCTGATTCTTCTCCACTCTGTAGCCTGTAGTACATTTTTTTTTTTTACTTAAAAAATTGAAACTAATCTTGCTCATACTTCCCACATTTTATTTTTGAATAATAGTTCATCCTTTACTAATGAAATTAGTCATCAAGCATGCTCTCAGTTTCTACTGAAATATGATCATGTATTCATACTGAGAGCCACGTTTCTTCTCTTCCTTCACCATTTTTTTCATGTGACTTTCCTTCAAACTAAAAGCTCTGATTTCTAACATTCTCATTGTAGTTGCTAATTTTCTAAAGCCTACATGTGATATAATTTAGGATTATTGTCTCATGACTACCACTGAGCCTAAGGATTTTTTTCCATTGTGTGTGTGTGTGTGCGTGCGTGTGTGTGCGTGCGTGTGTGTGCGTGCATGTGCGCATGTGAGTGCTATGTATCCTTAGAATTGATCTTGTAGAGCTGGTGGAGTAACTTAGTAGTAGGCTTCTTGCATAGTATGTATACAATAATCCTGGGCTCAATTCACAATGCCATAAAGATTCAAAAATTTCTGTAAGGATGCATAGTTCTATAATTGTCAAAAGATAATAATTCACTCTTATGTTTAATTATAGCTATCATCGATTTTTCATAGTTAGATTCACGTTTCTGTTTATATACTTGAGATTTTCATTTGTTTCTAATGTTAAAACATTTGCACTGTTTAATAGTGTAAACTGTTTACAAATGTAAAGTCATTCTCAAATATCTAGACTAATCTTCCTATTGCCCACTAGAGTCATTTTCATAGTTTTTGGTTCATTTTTGGCTTTTTGTAAAAAAATATTTCATTTTGTTTCTTGCTGGAGAAGGAATAAAATATAAGTTTTAATGCACACTGCCCCCCCCCCACTTAAATGTATCTTGAAATCCATTCCTTATTAGTGTATAGAGTTATTACTTTTGGGGATATTGTTCAGTGGCATAAATATCTAGTATATGAAAATATTCAGGCAATTCAAGTTTCTAATAACTGTTGTTAGCCTAATTATAGAATTCCTCAAGTCAGGGCAGCAAAAGTTAGCTATGGGTAGCATGGCTTCTTTCGAGTTGCTAGAGTCTAACTTTCTTAAAGTACACATACACACACACACACACACACACACACACACACACACACACACACGTAAAGTAAACATTCATCAGTGGGTTTATTTAACTGTTAAAGAAACCAGGAAAATGTTAAAAAATTATTTGAAAGATGCTAAGCTTCATCTTGATTGTCAGTTTGATCAGGTTAATAGATGCCTAGGACATGAGTGAGGACATGAGTGAAATGCACCTCTGGATGTACCTGTGGGATATTTCCAGAAACAATTAAATCATAAGGATTTGAGGTAATGGATCCCCTAATAGATAGTATGGTGAAATTATTGAATGTATGAAAGAAGGTGGGCCCTTCTTGGAAGAAGTCACTAGGGATATGTCCCGGGGACCTTGCCCTTGTCTCTTTCTGTACCTCACTTTCTCTTCTTGTCTGGCACAGTATAAGTTCTTGCCCTTCCCTGCCTTCCCTGCTATGATGATAAAACCTACAAAATCAAGAGCCCAAATCAATCTTTTATACCTTAAGTTCTTTATGGCAGGCATTCTACCACAGTGTTGCGGTAAGTATCCAGCTCAGAGAGAATCCTAAGGCTGACAGATAATTAAGACCACCAGGAAAGCAGAAATGAATTTGCTTAACAGACATAAAACTGTCAAGACTTGTCAGTGTCTGCAAGGAAGTAATTAGTTGTATTTCATTTGATAATGTTCTTTTTCTGTAGGCAAAAAATCATGTTACCCATCTGTTTTTTTTTTTTTTTTTTTTTTTTTTTTTTTTAAATTTCAGGGTTATAAAATAGGTTCAAGATAATGAAAATGGTGATGATTTGGATTGGGTGAGCTACACAGGATATGCACAAAACTACTCATTTCAAAGACTAACGTTTTTCCTTGACAGTGTGTGGAAGGGATGGAAATGAAGACCAGGGGAAATGCAGCTCACTTTTCCCAAGACTGACTGAAGCCTAAACCAGATGTAGCTGCTTTGTGTTTTCTGCGTTTTCATGTTCTCTTGAATGCAAGGGAGGACATGAGGGTTTGTGTGTGTGTGTGTGTGTGTGTGTGTGTGTGTGTGTGTGTGTGTGTATGTGTGCGTGCATGCGCGTGTGTGCGTGTGTTTGTGCATGCATATGTGCATGTGTGTATGTGAGTATTTTGGAGCATTCATCACAGAACTCTGACATGTTTCAGCACTGTTGTATGGTTGAGCTGTTGCAAGTGTTCTTTTCTATTGGCTGCAGCGCTGCTCTAGCCTTAGACTCATGTCCTATGTCTGTCTCCTTGCTGCTTTCCCCAGGTCCCAGAGGCTGAGTAGATGAGCCTTCTTTGGGCTCCTGTCACACCTTGTTTACTCCCTAGCCGTGTTGCATTGCTGGTTATTGTTAATGGTCAGAGCTGCAAAGATATACCAGTAAGTTTAAAAGATGACTGATAGGAGCTATAAATAGGATCCACTGGACATTTCCAATACTTCCCCTTACATCCCTACCTCCTCATTCATCTCTGTATGTTAGGATCTGGAATGGGACCTGGCACACTGATGAAATTTAATGCATGTTTATTGAATGAGAAAATGAAGGAATGGAGAGAAATGCCCAGGAAGTTGATTGTGAGACCTTTATGTAGCAGCTGCCATTCTTGTTCTTTCTCCTGGAACCAGAACTTCATTAACATATAATTAACATAGAACCAGGCTTCATTAATAAAACCAGATCCTATTAAACTGTTATGGTTAAGGCTTCAAAACTATCCTGTATTCAGGGTTTTGTGTGTCTGTTTCCTGTTCCTAATGTGCTCTTGACTGATGTAAAAGTAGTTTGGATCGACATTCCAAGGCGATCATCATGGATGACGATGGTAATTAATAGAGCTATTTGCTGTCATGGGTGTCCTTGGTGAAGGTTCAGGGAGCCTTACAAGGTACTTTCCCTCAGACGGATGATATTCTTTTGACTTTCATGTGTGCTTCAGGCAAAGCAAGGCAGTAGTTCTTGTGTGATGGGCTGCAGGTGCCTGGGTCTTCAAGAAGTTAAGTCTCTTATGTGCATACATGTCTATTCTCTACCTTCCTGTCACATGCATGGGCATAGTTAGTTTGTCTCAGTCTTGTCCTTGTTGTTATGGAAGAGCTAGAAGACACAGAGGAACATTTTGTCACATCCTACCAGGGATGTGTTATGTTAATGAGTAGGTTGGAATGCATTAATAATAAACTCAGAGTCACCAATAATGTGTCATCATTGCATTATTGAAAATAAATTATTGAGCATTTTCCTTTATATAATTTAACCAAGAGTGAACCCAGGTTTGACTTTCTCTCTCCCCCCCTCCCCTCTTTCTTTGTTTTTGTATGTGCTCTGTTGTTCCCTGTCCATTTTATGTCTGAATCTACGCATTTATGCCTTCCTGAATCTGAATTCTGTTGTGTGGATCTATCTGCTCCCATCTCCGAGTCTGTGTGTGCATGAGTGTGCCTATGTGTGTCTCTAGAAAAGGGATTTGCTTTCTCTTAAATTGAACAGCACAAAAATGTATCACATCAGAGAAGGAATAGGAATAGTTTACAGAAATCTTTAACAGGATTTTATAAGAGATTTAGTCACTGTCTTTAACTGACCCCAAATGACCCAGATAACAAACAGTATTATATTATAAATACCACTGTTTATCAAACAATATCTGTATGTTACAGCCAATATTTATGATAGATATTAATTTTATAAGATTGCTTTAATTTTAGTTTCATTTTCAGCAAATAATTACCATGACATGTATACACATATACATTATTTTCTGAGACAGGGGTGTGAAAAAGTATCTAAGACCACAGTTATACTTTAAATTGGAAATATTGATTACAAGGGAAATCCAAGGCAAGAAAGGTTGGTTGTTATACTTTTCTCTTAAAGGTAGTTTAGCAACAGCCTGAGTATGCAGTAAACCAATCTTAAGTGGCCTCAAGGTATATTATTAATTCTAACTATGAGGTCCAACAAAATATTCCAGTTACTTATAATGTAAGAATCTTTTTATTATAATGTATTGTCACATATTGGCATGTTGATGTTGATGGTGGTCTTTTGGATAAGCCAGCCCTACATTTGCAACATCATTTCACTTTTCACACATTAGCTCTCATGTCTGACATGTTTGCAGACTAGACTGTCAATCAGTAAATATGCAAAATAATCTTTCTCAAATCTTGATATTGTGAGAGAATAACTTGATAGTGAGTTGTAGTCTCTAGAGGTGAGCACTCTTGGGATGGGTATTTTCTTAGAATGGCATGCTGAAACTTGGTCTCAGGCAAGTTGAGCTCATAGAGGAGACATGTGTCTGGATATTTTTGTGTTCTCTAACATGGTAGTACTATTATTGAGTAGACATCTTCATAGATACTCGTGGTACTACCCAACATGTAGAGTTGATCCTTCTGCAGAGACAGGATATTCATAATGGTCAGCTATGATTCTGTATATCTAGTGCTAGCTTGCTTCTGTATAAATAAAAAAGATCCATGATTTAGTCACAAATTGCCTGCCAGGTTTTTATGAAGGCCTGTGATATAGGTGGTGATGAGAGATGCCTAAATGTCCTGCTCTGCCTTTGCATATCCTGGCTGGGGATGAAGGACACATTTGCTGTGATTCACGTGTACATTTTTCTGTCATCCTTAGGGTCTAAGTCACAGAATTGTCTGTGGAACTCCCTCATTGATGGGCTCACTGGGAATGTCAAGGAGAAGCCACGGCCAACAATTGTTCAGGACACTCGGCCCCCAGAGGAAATTCTGGCAGATGAATTGCCACAGCTGGATAGCCCAGAAGCTTTGGTGAAGACATCCTTCAGGTTTGATGGATGAAAATCCAGTTTGTTCCTTCTTAATGGTTTTGAGAGTTGTCTCAGTCCATTTGGATGCCTCCTCTGGGGGCAGCAAATGGCTGTGCTGTACACATTAGCATTGGTGGAGAATTGTTGGAATGCTAGCTGCACTTCCGGGTGGATTTCCCAGATGTTGTGGGTCATTTCTGTTGGTAGCTAATTGGTATTGGCATTTCCGTGCTGAGGCTTGGGACTCTATAACGTCAGTAGCTTGGCTTGAGTTAATGATGCTTTGGCCTCAAAGGACAATGATGAACCAGGACAAATGCCCAGAGATAAATGGCTGGCTGCTCTAGGCCTGGTGGGATTCATTCAGCCCTGTGTCTGTGCTGTTTCTTGCTTGGAGGAGGTTTCTACTTGTGAGAAACATAAATGCTACCACCGAGGGAAATAAAATGTGATCTTGTGTTCCTCAGATGGCTGTCTGCTCTCCTTCTGTTTCCCTTAGCCTGGCATCTCCCTAGAAAGGTCTCTTCCATTTTTTTTTAACTGTATGCTCCATTTTCATTACAACTCTATCTCTGATCTTCTCATCCATTTTAAGAAAAGTTAATCTGGGTATGAATGTGTTATGAAACAAGGCTTTTTTTTAATGAATGGGTCTTGAAACATCCAGTGCTACGAGTATCAGAAACTGAGATTTCATAATTCTTCCAGTTTCCTTTCTCTTCCTCCTTTCTTTCTGTTATAGTAACTTTTTTGGTTCCATTTTTCTTGTGACTGTAATCTGTCCTCTTCTCCAGACAGCTAGTGGAACATATAAACTTCACTTCAGGCAACATGTAGACTTAAGTGAGCTGTCTTTTGCATAGAGATAATGTGTGCAATAGCTTAGTTAAAGCCATTTCATTGTGTGCAGGTTTCTTATATAGACTGAATTATAGATGAGTCTGAATGAAAGTCTGAATAGAGATTTTTATTTGGATTTCTTTATGCAGCACAGTGGCTACACTGGGGAGACAAGAACTGTGGGCAAATGATTTTCTTATTCCCATAAAGGGTTTGGTTATTCCATCCCGAGATTTTAAATGAAAGAGAAGCTCTTTCTGTGAGCCTGCATTTCTCTGCAAATACCAGCAGGAAAGAGTGGACATTGATTGGCTTTCTTTGTTCATGTCTTGCCTTGGAGTCTATCTGATCATATACAGTATATTCATAACCATGCCCTCCATCTCAAATCAGGCTCACCGCTGCCTTTCCTTACCAGTTGAAGCATTACTTTCACAGAAGGGCTGCTTGGTCTTTGTGTCCATCTTCATTACCCATTCTTTTTGTGGTCCCTTGAGCTTTACATAGGAAGTGTATGTTGGTTGATGGCTCTTCACTGAGTTTGCTAGTTGTAGCCTGTCTTAACTCCTAAAAGAGATTTATGATAAAATATTTGGGTTGGGGCTTCTTTCTGGTACTTTGTGAAACTTGGTACAGTAGCAAGGGAAGAGAGGACACAATATTATTGCACCTTTGTATCAGCTGAGGCTAGCAATCCACTGGCATTAGCCAATTATTTATTGGTGCCCTGTGTGCTATTCTGCAACAATTCTTCAAAGGTTAATGGATTGCTGTGGCCCTGTTGAATGGAATATACTTCCTATACTCCTTTGTGCAGCTGTAACCTGTGGTATCAGGATCAGTTGGGAGTTTGTTTTTTTTTTTTTTTGTTTGTTTGTTTTTGCACATAAATTGCCAAGAATGCTTAAAATACTCAGCTTATTTATCAGTTAAGCAGTTATCCTGTTGATAATACCACTTTTTAAAAATGCCTTTTGAATTTCCAAGGAAGGAAGGAACTGTAGATAAATTTTTAATTATGCCTGTAGGAGTATTCATCCCCTGGGAACCTGACACTTGTTGATTCACAATGTCTATGACCTAAGGGAAAATATGGCATATATTTACATAGTTATTTGTTTGTTTTTACATCCCAACCAAAATTTCCCCTCCATCCTCTCTTCCCAGTCTCTCTCCTCCTCCTTCCACTCCTCCTTCTGTCTCTCCTCAGAAAAGAGCGGGCCATCCATGGGTATCAACCAGCCATGGTATATCAAGTTACAGTGAGACTAGGCACCTTCTCTTCTATTAAGGCTGGATGAGGCAAACCAGTAGGAGGAATGGGTCCCAAAAGCAGACAGCAGAGTCAGAGGTAGCCCCTGCTATCACTGTTAGGAATCTCAAAGGAAGACTAAGCTACAAACTGTAAAACATATGCAGAGGGCCTAGGTCAGTACCATGCAGCTTCACTAGTTGGTTCCATCTCTGTGGGCTCCCATATTCACTTAGTTTTAAACGTCAGGGAAACACACAGCTGGGAATCCTCACCAGAGGTTCTCAATGGTCTTGTTCGTCGAAAAGGAGCACAGGTGCTCAGGAACTGTCACCACCTGTCCTCCTAAGAACTCTAGTGTCGTTACTGCTGAGTGCTTCAGGATGAGTGACAGCTTCGAGTGCTCCTTTCCTTTCCTTGAAACCCAGAGCCATGAAATATGGTTACCAAGCCTTATTATCAACCAGACTGTAATGACAATAAGCCTAATGTGCCAGCTCCAGGGATTCTTGGGGCTTCTTAACTTCACATAGGTGCCCCTTGCTTGCTGACAGCAGTTTGAGCAACAGCTATAACCCTACCGTTTTCTATCTCCTGGCAGAAAGGAGGGTTATGTTATGTATGGAACCCACGAAATATTAGCTGACATCACCAAATCCAGATATCTTCCTCACAGTGCTTTTGTTGTCCCGAGCTGTCACCTAGCCTCATTTGGCAACATGTACATGTTCTTAGGTATGTCTAAATAAAGTGAATACTTAAAGGGAAGGGCCCAATTGCTCATATCCACCTTCCTCCAAGCTTTTCTAACTCTTTCCAGGCAGGTGGGCAAATACACACAAATTACCTCCAGGACAAAGAGTGAGTGCCTGCTTAATATTTGCATAATATGTTCATTCAAATAGTTCTTTCTAGACCAAAAGGATGGCATAGTGTAAGTCAATTTCTATATTTCATTCCCAAAGATAGGACAAGTTCATGCATTTATGAATAATAGGACTTTTTCAGAAAAGTTTCAAAAGTTCATATGTTTTGGTCTCTCCCAGGCTCACTGTTACAGTAACAGATACCTTCATACTGTCAGGCCTGATCCTAGTGGAGAGGAACCTTAAAATGCAGAATTGATGTTACAAAGGATTTCCTAATAGACTTGCTTAAGAGACATTAAGCCATGACAAGTAGAATTTAGCTAAGGAATTTCTGTCTTCAAAATACCTCAAAGATAATTAGTTTTCTAACTAGGTCTGTTAGAAATAATCAATATTAAGGCTTCTAGGATATAAATGTTCAGTAGCATTGATCTTCTACTAGGCTCCATCCTAACAAAAATAGATACCCCTGACTTATAATCAGCCTTAGACTAGACCTATTTCTCTATCAGAGTACATGCCTGTAATAGGCACCTCAAGGGGGCAGTACAGGGTGACAACCATGTTAAGTCCTGGCCTTCCACAAAGCCCCTGTTCTTCTTAAGAAAAGCATAATTCTGCCATGTGGTCAAGATGACCTTGGGTAACAACTGGCATATTTAAAAACAATTTCTGTGTAATTTTCTTTCTGCCTAAGTGGCCAGACTTGCAATATGTGGGTGGAATCCTAAGCATAAAGTGTATTATAAAGTTAGTGAGATCTTTGAAATCTTCCCCCTGAAATGGTTGCCCTTTGGGCATTAGCCAGAGCCTGATGGTGCTATTACTGAAGAGCTTTTTTCCTTGTTTTTCCGGAGTGTGTGGAGTGAATTCTTACTAGGGAGAGAACATATTTATGCTTTTAAGCTTACAATCCAAAGATGCTGCCCTCTTGTGGTGGTTTGAATGAGGATAGACTGAATGGGCTCATTGATTTCAATACATGGTCCTCAGTGGGAAGGATTAGGGTGTGTGGCCTTGTTGGAGGATGGGCCTCATTGGGGGTGGGTTTTGAAGTTTAAAAAGATATGCCATTCCTCAATGTCATGGTTGTGGATCAGTATGTGAGCTCTCAGCTTTCCCTTCATTCCACCATCATAGACTCCAACCCTCTGAATCCATAAGCCAAAGTAAGTTGTCTTGGTCATGGTGTTTTAGCACAGCAATAGAAAAGTAACAATGACACAATTGCAGAGAAGAAGAAACTGGCCCAGAGAAGTGAGGTCTGTGACTTGAATCAAATTCAAATATAGACTAGTAGGGTTGCTTGCTTGGGAGTTGGCTTTCACTAAGGTCAGTAGCCAGGAGGAAGCTTCAGGTCCTATTGATTTTAAGTCCTCGGAATCTCATCTTAAGTCTGAGATACCATCTTACCCCTGTCAGAATGGCTAACATCAAAAACACCAAAGACAGTTTATGGTGAAGAGGATGTGGAGAAAGGGCAACTCTCCTCCACTGCTGGTGGGACTGCAAACTCATACAGCCACTTTGGAAATCAGTATGGCAGTTCCTCAGGAAAAAAGGGAATCAGTTTAGCACAAGATTCAGCAATTCCACTCTTAGGCATATACCCAAAAGATGCACAGTCGAACAACAAGGACATTTAATTGCGTTTATAGCAGCATTATTTGTAATAGCCAGACCTAGAATCAACCTAAATGCCCCTCAACTGAAGAATGGATGGAGAAAATGTGGCACATTTATACAATGGAGTACTACTCAGTGAAAAAACAAACAAACAAAAAACAATAGAATCTTGAAATTTGCAGGGAAATGGATAGAAATAGAAAAAACATCCTGAGTGAGGTAACCCCGTCACAAAAGACAAATAAGATATGTACTCACTCATATATGGATTTTAGACACAGAGCAAAGGATTACCAGCCTACAATCCACACTGTCAGAAATACTAGGAAACAAGGAGGACCCTAAGAGAGACATACATGGTTCCCTGGAGAAGGGGAAAGGGACAAGATCTTTTGAGAAATTGGGAGCACGGAGGGAGGGGAGAGGGAGTT